ACTGAACACTCATATGGTTTCTCTCCTGTGTGAGTCCTCTGGTGTATGACCAAGTTGGAATTCTGCTGGAAACTTTTGCCACAATCCGGACACTCATATGGTTTCTCTCCCGTGTGAGTCCTCTGGTGTATCACCAGGCAAGAGTTCTGACTGAAACTTTTCCCACAGTATAGACACTCATATGGTTTCTCTCCTGTGTGAATCCTCTGGTGTTTCATAAGGTTAGAATTATTACTGAAACTTTTCCCACAATCTGGACACTCATACGGTTTCTCCCCAGTGTGTGTTCTCTGGTGTATAACCAAGTAGGAATTATGACTAAAGCTTTTCCCACAGTCTGGACACTCGTATGGTTTCTCTCCTGTATGAGTTCTCTGATGTATCACCAAGTTGGAATTCTTACTGAAACATTTACCACAATCCAAACACTCATATGGTTTCTCCCCTGTGTGAGTTCTCTGATGTATCACCAGGTTGGAATTCTGCTGGAAACTTTTCCCACAATCCGAACACTCATATGGTTTCTCCCCAGTGTGAGTCCTTTGGTGTGTCACCAGGTTGGAATTCTGACTGAAACGTTTCCCGCACTCTGGACACTCAAATGGTTTCTCTCCAGTGTGTGTCCTCTTGTGTATCACCAGGTGGGCATGCTTACTAAACTTTTTGGCACACTGTGAGCATTGATAAGGCTTTTCTCCAGTATGGGTAATTTTATGCTCAAGAAGTTGGGAGGTGTAGTGAAAGACTTTTCCACATTCGGAGCATTTGTATGGTTTTTCACCAGTGTGGATCCTCTGATGCATAATCAGCTCTGACTTGCAATCTCGGCTTTTCCGACAATATGAATATCTGTGGAGCTTTTCCACCACTAATAGTCTTAGATTTTTGAGGAGGTCAAAAATATTTGTGATCTCTTCTTGGATGGTTCAAGCTGTTTGTTTCCTCACAGGTTGAGGCCTGCATTACTGTCTGGAATAAGTGCTTTCTCTCCACAGTCTTCTAGAATCCATATGGGTTAATATAAAAGGAAAGAAAAAATATATTGCTATAAGAATATGCTACAGGCCACCCAACCAAGCAAAAGAAATAGATGAACTCCTTGCTAAACAATTAACAATTGTATGTAGGAAACATACCACAAGAGTAATGGGAGACTTTAACTACCCCAATATCAACTGGGAGATAAATTCAGCAACAGGTGAGGAATCAAACAGATTCCTAACCAACTTAGCTGACAACTTTGTCATCCAAAAGGTAGAGGAGGGTACTAGAGAAAAAACTATACTGGACCAAATTCATATTAATAAAAAGAAGTGATAGAAGGAATTGAAGCTGCTGGAACCTTGGGTGAAAGTTACCATGTCATATAATACAAGCTGTGTCTTAAACTAGAAGAGTTGATTTTAACAAACTCAGAGAGACCAAAGCAAAATTTCATGGATAACAATCCTGAAGGGGAAAACAACCAACAAAAAGTCCCACACAGTATCACTAAAAAAGAAAAACAAGAAATCCAAGACCAAATCTGAATTATGTCACAAAGACCTCTCTGATAAACTGAAAGACAAAAAGGATAAGTACAAAAAATTGAAAGAGGGACACATAACTAAGGCAGAATATCAGCAGATAGCCTGAGTCTGCAAAGATGAATTCCAGAAAGCAAAGGCTCAGAATGAACACAGACTTGCAACAAAAGTCAAAGACAATTAAAAAAAGTTTCTTTCACCATATAAA